TGGGAAGTGGGAGGAGGGGCAGGGCAGAAAAGGAAGCCAACAAATCACTGGTCATCAAGCAGGTTAGCACAAAGGGTTGCAGAACTCAGTCCCACTGGAAGCTCCAGGAATAATATAAAATATGCTATACAATGTGCTACTTGAAGAGCAGGTAAGCAAAACTGGTGTATTCATCACCTACAGCCTGTCAGTAGTAGCCCATTAGCGCTCCTGGGGATGGTGGTTAACTCTCTGACACTCCCAATTTGCTTCAGTGCAAGAAGGCCCCAATGGCTGGAGAGCACCATTAAGCAAAGATTTGCAGGAACTTTCAGCTGAAAGTTGGCTGAGATGAACAGATATAGAAAGTGCTAAGGTGATGTTTGGGGCATCAAACACACCTGCCAACAAGCAGACAAGTCAGGTAGTCTTATCTCAATTTACATATTAAGAAACTGAGGTACAACTGAGCACGATAATGTGGAAGACAGTGGGGATGTATGAAGGTTCTCTATCTTTGGCTACCATCTTTGGGTCCACCCAGATATCGTTCTGCTGCCTTTCCTTCTGGCCTGTGTAATCAGGTAACTGGTGATCTACTTCTGTGGCAGAGAATGGCTGGGGGCTCATACAAATCATTTCTGCTTCCTGGGACCTCAACTGTATTCATTTCCTAGTCACCCTTGGCAGAATGGTACAGCATATAGCAAAGCTGTGCAGAGTGAATAGAGTGATGAGTAGTGCTTTGCTGCTTGACTTACAAAAAGCTTTGCACATATCCTCCCTGCTCTTCATCCTTTCAGGAGAATGGAATAGAGATGACCTCCAGGGTATCCTACAGAGTCATACCTTGATGACAGCAGAGACCCAAGAAGGAAGGAGCCTGTGTCCTTGGGTCCTGGGATCATCCCTTAAAGGAAGGCCACTCAACCAGAAACATACTGTTTAGACTTTTATTTGCTAAACCACTGTGATTTTGAGGATTATCTATTACAGCTACCATCACTTTAATATCATTCACGTGTGATCAAAAGTTTGTCTTTATATCTTTTACTTTTATCACAGATTATGAATTTATTTATCAGCTGTCTATCCTCCAAGAACAGGGACTTTGCTTAGTAAACCAATTTATCTCTGGCATCTGGAACAATGCCAGGCACCAGTAGATGCTCAGTAAATATTTATCAAAAGATCAAATTAAATTGCACATTGTAATGACAGACCTTATACTAGGAATTTCACATATCTTATCTCATCTTATCATCACAAAAACTATGTAAGGACACTGAAACTTAGAGAAGCTGATTGACTTATCCAGTGGCATCCAGAAGGAAAGTGAGAGAGCCAGTACTGCAATCCAGGCAGTCTGCTTTAACCCTCAAACTCTTAAGCCCTGTTCACATTGCCCAGTTGTGTATACCAAGTGCATCACTAGTTGCTGTGGGAACAGAAAGGCAAGAGACACAGTGCCTGCTCCTGAGGTCTACTCAGGAGGTAGAAGCTAGCATCAAGCTTATGTGCACTGAGAAAAATAAACCAGTCTCTGTTCTTATCTAGGAAGCAGGCTATCTTCTAGAAATGTGGAGCTCTGCTGCTTCCCCAACTTGAGCAAAGGCTCATCTTCACAATCAGGAAATCCTCTTATGGAATATGAGAGAGTTGAGCAATACATGGGTAAACCAGGTCCTCTTTGCACAAAGAGAAGAGGGAGTCACAGAAATGATCTGATTCCTCAGATCTTAGGGAAGAATTAGGAGGGGAATTAAATACAGGGGTTAATTTGAAAGGTATGCGCTTGGTGATCAGACAGAATTGACTTGAACTAACTTTGCCATTTTCCAAATGGTAGGATGTAGGGTAAGTTAGCTAACCTCGTTGAGCTTATTTCCTCATCTGAAACATTGGTAGAATGATGCCAGCCTCCCAAAGCAAAGTGATTATCAAATTGTGTGCTCAGAAAATGGTGGCCGATGTAGTGTCTATTCTTTGATCACTGGTATTACCATAAGGGAACAAAACCCTTCTGGCCACTGAAATATAAAGATAGAAACACTCATGAGTATATAATCATGGCAGATGCTAGAACCAGAGCCATGGTAGAAGAGAAAGCAATGAACTTTCTGGTTTCTCCCTCACCCTTCCCAAGTGCAGCCACTAGAGGGCATTTGGCATCTCTTCCACTGTTGGTATGTTCAGATGTGCCCTCAAGAGGCCCTCTGGATGACTACAAAGAGAGTTTTCAGGGACAGGCAAAGGAGCAAAGCACTCTGACAGAGGCATTTGAACAGTTGCCAAAGGGTCATACTTATAGGTCTGCAGGTGAGAATGCAGACAGCTTTACCCTGCTGCCCTCAGAGTTGCCTCTTGAGCCCATGAGCCACCACCCATGGAGGGAATTACCTGAGGTTGCCGTGGGGCCAGCTTGGGGGTCCTCTGTTAAATGAGGTGAGAGTCTTCTTGTTTGTTCTGGAAGCCTGGGACTTTCTGAGGGATTTCTCATTGGCCCTTTAGAGCCTTGGACCCGAAAACCAACTCATCTCAATAGAGGCCAAATTGTAGTTTGGCAAATAGTTTGACAAATTTCCAGAAGTTTGGGACCATCCTGGCGATACATACACCATAATGTTCTCAGTTGACAAGGAGCTTAAGAGTCCTCTTCTGATCACAATTCAGTTCATTCAGTCAGCAACATCTGATATTAAAAGGCAAACAGCCCATGGAAAATATTGCTCTTATCAGTTATTCTCATTATAGTATAAAAGGTTTGTTCTTAATTCCAAGGTAAATCTTTAAGAACACTTCAGCTATGGCTCCAGTTCTCATTGCTGTGCTCATCACTCTAAACATCTGAGTTTTTAGAAAACACCAGTCTCTTTCCTAGTTCCTTTCCTTACTCCTAATGCATCACTCCCCCCAACCCTTTTTTGCTTTATGGAAATGCTACTCTTCCATTGGAAGCTACAGATTCTTCCATTGGAAGCTATAGATTCTTCCCTAATTCCTACCACTATTTTTCCAAAGGACTTTATACTTACTCTAAATGTAACATTTGTCAGACAATCTTATGACAGAACATTTTTCTCTCTCCTATTACTCAACTGAGCTTTCCATGTGCCTCATCTCCACCCTCTGCTTGAATGTATGTCCTGACAAGGAGCTCATCACCTCCAAGACAGTGCATTTCATTGTTAGTCAATTCTCTTTGCAAAAATTCTTTTTCTAGTATTAGAAACCAAGTCTGCTTCTCTGATATAAGGACCTATTTATTCTCTACTAGTTCAGTTATTTAACATTTCTTCAGATGTGAATAAGGCTTCTCATTCTGTAATTAGATAAAGAACCTAAATATAAATATCCTGATAGGCAATAACATCAGAAAACAATTCATTCTAAAATGTAAATGACTGATAAAGGCCTTTCCATAGAGCAGGATTTTAACAGGAGAACTTACATGTGGGGTCAAGAGTACTAAAGATACCAGGAATAGCAGGACACCAAAATGTGATATGATAGGAAGAGCACTGGAATAGAAAATTAAAGAAGGATCCAATATCATTTATATTTTCTGAGCTTTGATTTTCTCATTTGGAAAAGGAATAATTTGCATGATGAGTAGTTCTACTTATGACTGTCATTGCAAAATTTCATCTGGAAGTGGCCTTGCTCACCTGAACTGTTCTTAAGCCTTTGCTCTGACTTGTTTTTCTTAGCTCTGGGTGGTGAAAAGTCACAGGTATGCCAATGGGTTTCAGCCATGGGAGGACTGGGCACTCTTGGTGTCAATGATGTTATGATTTATATTAGCTACCATTATGTCAATCAATGATCCTTTTATTCCCACCTGGGTGGAACTTTTCTCTCTCCTGTCTTGAAGCCTTGCTTTACTAAGCTATTTATGGCATTTGTATCATAAATCAAGGATGCAGGAGACACATTTTACTATGATTTTATTATATATTCTCTTTTCCTGGAGTTTTGCATGTAAAAGATTGCATAAGAACCAACTCTTTATTTGTCCTTAAGTTCTACCCTACAGAACCTGATCTCTTTACAATTGCTTGAAGCATGAGACCCAATGACTCAATAAATACTTTACAAAAATAATGCAGGTTTATTCTTTCTTAAACATAAAAAAAATTAAGATTTCCTAGACTTCAGCCCCTTCTTCCCTTTTTGTATTTATTTACTGGGAATATATTGGTAGAGAAAAAATTGTTAGGATAGTATTAAAATAGAGGGAGGTCCGTATTATTTTCTTCTTCTTTTTTTTTTTTTTACTTTTGGAAAAGTGCTACTCCTTGTTTTTATGTCTGAACTTCCTGCAATCTTCTGATCCTATTAAGATATGGGCAGAAATTCTACTGTTTGGGGGTCTTTTAGTAGAATCATAGCATTAAGTTAATGTTGATTTTTTTTTAAAGCACATTTAAAACTAGGCCTCAGACTTGCCTCCCAAAAGATCCATTTCCCTCCCTATCCTCTGGTCCGAGGCAAGGGAGTTTTAGAATGTTAGACTGTATCAAGATGCTCTATAACTAAATTACACCTGGTTTAAAGTGGACGTTTTCTTGGTTTGATGGAGTTCCACTGCGTTGTTTTTAAGGAAAGCACTGCAAATTTCTCTTTCTCTACTGCTTCCCTAAGCCCCTTTCTTTCTGCACTCTCTCAGAAGTGATTAGTTTCACAACAACTCCAGAGAAAAGGTTAAGCTTAAGTCACATTAGCATTAAATAAGTTATATATAAAAACTGCCTATAATGTTTACAACTTCAGTCTCTCTCCTCCTTTGCTTCTCTTGGACACACTGAATGGCGGTGTGAACTGAATCGCACCCACTATGGCTTCCAGGTTCCCCTCCAGGCCACAGGGCTTCAAGGAGGACCTCCAAGCAAGTTTGTAGTTACTGGGCATGACAGTCACCGGGCCTGCCACACATCCCTCGTGTAATTTATAAAAATATTCATGTGGTATATACAAATATACACATATGCACATTAAAAGAACTGGGTGCCAGTAGTAGATCAGTGCAATGTGATTGTGTTCCCAAAGCAGAAGCGGCTTTTCTCCACCCCATATCAGTCTCATTAATACTCCCTGGCCTCTTGGAACTGTTTGATGTAGTCCTCATCCGAAGGGCTCTCTGTACACTTCTGCCCATTGTTGGGGGGTCGGGCCTCGTTATATCTACTCCAGTCACCCTTACAGATGATCCAGGGCAGGACGTCCACTTTGTAGTGGAGCTCCGCAGAGAACTCGGTGCTGATGAGGTTGGGTGTCCCAGCTCCTTTGCCCCTGGTGATGAGCTGCATGTTGTCACCATAGCAACAGTGCTGAGCAGCCAGTGTGGTGCTCTCCAGGGATAACATGGAGCGGATGCAGTACCGGGCTGTGGGCTTGTAGATTTCCAGCTTCTCCTTGGGCCCGCTGGCATCCTTCCAGCGGAAATCCTTGCGTTTGATACGGTCAAAGATGTCAGCAGTACTGTATGCCACCTCTGTGGGGTAGGAGCAGGGGCAGCTGGGCAGGTCATTGATCACCTTGTGCATGTATTTCTTTAAGAACTCACTTTTGCAGGTCATCCATCGCTCACAGCTGTCTGTGTCTGAAAAAGGCCCCAAAAAACTCTCACCATAGGCAACACCAGTTGGCAGGATGACATTTGATGTCACCAACTTCCCTCCTAACCTGTTGCTATTATTCCAAGGAATGGCGTGGAGGTGGGATAAAGGAGAATGATGGAAGGGGTGAATACAACTATATTGTGAGAACTTTTGTAAATGTTACAATGTATCTCCAGTACAGCAATAATATTATCAAAAAGAAAAAACAAAGCATCTTCCCTCCTAGAGTCAGATTTCTGCAAGTACCTGGAGCCACCAGTCTATGAGGGGCCATTCTCATCTCCCTTGAACTTGGGAATGTCTTTGTTTACATGTCCCAATCTCCCCCCACACTTTATATTATGAAAAAATTTCAGGAACACAGAAAAGTAAATGGAATATACTTATTTAATGACTGCCCATATTCTGTCACCTCACTTTAACTGTCATTACATTTGCTCTATCTTAAAAAAACTTTGTTGAAATTTATATTATTGCTCCTAAATTTTAGTAGGTATCTACAACCCCTCCTCCCAAGAGCAACAACAACAACAAAACCCTAAAAACATAAAACTAAAACCAATACATTTTCCTAGGTAAACTCAGTCCCCAATTATCAACCCCTACAAAAGTAACAACAATTTAGAGGGCTACATTGAATTTCCTCTTGAAAGAAGTAATGATGTGATGGAAAAGGCTTCAAAGGAAAATCTGTAGGACTGAATTTTATTTCTGTCACTCCCTGACTGGTTTAAAATAGAGCTAACGTCTCCCAACCTCTTAACCTTAGGCAGGTAATAAATCATTATAGGCAAACTCATATGATAAGATGTGTCAAAGAAGAAAGGTAGTTTAACATACAGGGCAGAGACCAGTGACCTGTAGGACTGAGTCAGAATTCACCCCCAGTGATGGTGTGTTTAGTTCTTACAGTATTAAAAATTATTGATTAGTTGCAAACATTTAAGAATTAGCTGGTTCCAATTATAATGGTATATTTCTGGTTTCATTTGAAAAATCAAAAGATGTATCTACATTGGTCCTACATCATCCCATGGGAACAAATGGCCCTATGTACAAGCTAACAGTGACCTCCTTCTTGGATCGCGCAGGAGGTCCCAGCACCTGCCTGATCCCTCACTCATGGGTATGCTCTTGGTCCCTCAGTCATTTGAGTCTGGAATCCCTGATTTAGTGAAAGTCTCAGTTTGGGTTCTCCCAGAACTTTGAGGTAAAGATTCCAGTGAAAATCGTTCATCGGGAGGTGATTCCAGGACATACCAGGAGGGAAGTAAGACAGGGAAGGGAAGGCAGTGCTGAATTCCACTGGGAAACTGTGCATAAAATCCTTCTTATGCTTCTCCCATGCAATGACAATAACAAACTTTACTTTAGAACTTTATCCTAGAAAATGGCCATGGTTAAGAAGCACCCCTGCCACATACACACAGTACACACACGCCTTGGACCCTTTTGTGTTCTGGAAAAGTGCTTACTGCAAAGAACCCCTTTCCCTACAGGACTTAGATAAGATGAACAGATGCGCCCCCCCCCACCACCCCTGTTTACCTGTGATAAGCTCAGAAGTAGACCTTCCTTTCTTTGCTCAAAAATGATTAGCTGAACTGCTTATTTCCACTGACTGATCAGAAAAAAAATGCAGTTTAATCAAATTTTGATTAGGCCTCTCTCCTTTCTTCAAGTCTCTGGACCCACCCTCAGACTGAGCCAGCACACAGACTCTCCTTTAACCATCTTTCCTGGCACTAGACTCAGGTTAAAAAAATCCTCCAATGTACTGTCCTTTCTCACCACACTTTCATTGCGTTTCCTTGCTGCTATGGTTTGGATCTTAGATATCCCCCAAATGCCCATGTTGGAGGTTTGGTCCCAAGCCTCTGGCACTACTGGGAGATGGTGAAACTTTTAAGAGGTGGCATCTAGTGAAATAAAGTTAGGTCAGTGGGGACATGCCCTTGAGAATATCAGGACCCTGACCCCTTCCTCTCTTTCTCCTTTTGCTTCCTGATTACTTTGAGGTGAGTAACCTCCTCCACCACACACTCTCTACCATGATGCTGTGCCTTACCACAGGCCCAAAGGCAATAAGAAAAAGCAACCATGGACTGACACCATGAGCCAAAATAAATCTTTTTCTTTTAGCTGATTTTCTCTTAATAGAAAACAACTAACACACCGATGCTGGGTTCTTTCTAGCTTTATTTTCTCCTATACAAAAGAAAATCCTCTTTGCCTAACCCTTGGCACTCTTTTAAAAATTTTATTTATTTATTGAGACAGGGCCTTACTTTGTAGCCCAGACAAGCCTTGAACTCTGATTCTCTTGCTTCTGCCTCCTGAGAGCTGGGATTACAGGCATGGACCACCATATCTGGCTCCGTTGGTACTTTTGAAGACTTAAAGTCACAGTGTTCTCCCTATTGCAAGAATAGGAAAATAATATCTGCTACCCTGCCCCCCAACAATAATGCTGTGACTCAACTCTCTCCTTACTAAGTCTGGATTTAAAAAAAATTATTGGGGATCTGAGTATTTATCCATCAGCTTTTATCATCACTCATGGAAGGCCACTCCTGACTTCCAGCCTGCCCTTCATTCATAGGCAGGTGGGTTTAGGGACCAGAGAAAGTTCTTAGGCAAATAACCAGAGTAGCTGTCAGTTGAAGGTCAGGCTGGAGAGCAGGGACATGGTGTAGCTGGAGGGACGTGAGTGGGGCACCAACAGGGTCTGCCTTAGTAAGATGAGGCTAATCATGGCAGAATGTGGGGCAATGTGAAGGGAGGCAAAGCTGGAACTCAAAACTGCATGGGCATGATGGGCTATGGCTGTAATCCTAGCACATGTGCAGCTGAAGCAGGAAGATCCTGAGTTCAAGACCAGGCTGGGCTACATAGTGAGACCCTAACTCAAAAACAAATGCAATGGTGGTTCAAAATGCAATGCTGTTTCTAGCAGGGCAAGTCATGTGGAATGAAAGGGAATATGTGGCACCCTTCTGGTCCTGAGACATGTGTGGACTGTGTGGTGGCTACACAATTGTTTTGCTGTTTTCATTTTAAAATAGGGCAAAAAATAGTACTTCTCTCATCAAGTTAGGGAGGAAATTGAATGGGAGGGAACATAGAGTGCAAGGAACATAGTCTCAGGGTGGGTCCAGCTGAGATGTGCTGTGGCTCCTTTCAGCTTCAAGTCTCTGAATCCATGGCTGTGATCTCCTGACTGAGCAGTCACTGAGAGCATGGCAGTTCCAGCTGGGGCAGTGTCTGTGAAAACTATAGTCCTTGGGAGCACAGGGATTTTGGAAACAAAATTCACGAGGTCCCTGACAATGACTCTGTATTTCCCCTCCAGGGTGGGAGGTCATCCGTTGACTGATTTTTATATTTTGTCAAACTTAAATAAGTTGTTCAGTATGATGGGCACGTTCCAAAAGCTTTACAAATATTAATTCACTGAATTCCTCATTTCTCATCATTTGTATGATGATATGAGCACTATGATATCATGCCATTTTGCAGATGAGAAAACCTGAGGCAGTGCTAGGGCAAGGTACCTGACCTTGTCCCAGTCAAGCCTTTCCCACCTCTGGTTTTCTCATCGTCAGTTTGCTCTGTTATGTCCTCATTCCGTACTCCTTCTTGTCCTAGAAGGTTGATCTGTAGGGACTGTATCAACAGGCCCCTTGATCCATGACTTCTAATTGGGTTGAGTCAATGGAAAGACCCAGAAAGAGGCCAGAGGGAAAAGAGTGAGGTGAGAGTATTTATTTCTTTGATTCCCCTCTCACTGCATGCATTGTCTGCATTCTTCTGAGAGCCAGGATTGCTGTCAGATGACCCTCTCTCGGGCTCTGGTCACTGTTCCTGGTCCTGTCGACTAAAAAGCGGCAAGGGCTCCCCACTACTGCCAACCTTGGGGTTCTGAAAACCTTTCTTGGGGCCCATCCACCTTGCTCATATTTTGCAAACAGTTCCTCATTAAATGTTCCCCCATTACCTACTCTGAGTTTGCCATATTCTTTCTAGCCTGAACCCTGGCTGAAACACATCTACTCAGCCCTTGTGTCCTCAGCCACACACCTGGTATAGCTTTGTGTATCTGGATTCACCCTCTGCAAAAAGGCAACAGGCTGCTTGTCGTGAGTGTGCCATGAGGAGACCTGAGAAGTTCAGTGCCCCCAAAGACCACCTTTGCTGCTCTTCCATTGTATGTAAAATTGATACCTTTCAAGTCTTTTTTTTTTAAATCAAGTACATTGCATGTGCAGAATACTGACAAATGCATTTTGATTGTGTGTATGTGAGGTGTGCGGTGAGAGGTGACGTGGAGGCCCTAGTAACATGGAATTTCCAATCTGCCTCCAGTTGGCTTGTTTGACTTTGTTTTTTACAGATAAATTATTATCAAGCATTGTAAAAATAGAGGTATATTCTAGCAAGATACAGATTTTGGGCTTTTCTTGGAAAACTAGAACATCTGGCAGCACTGGATGGACATTCATTCCATGGTGGCCAAGTCCTGGCTGATCTCTTTGGATGAAGCCTGAATGCCTCATTTTGTCACTGTCCCTGCTGCTCTCTGCTGCCCCTTAAGACTGTAGTTGTTTACTGCTTTAGTTTCTTTTCATCTTAGTGCTGGCACCTTTGTTTCCATCCTTTCTTACTAGTCTTTCTTTGTTTTTTAGAATGTTCTATTTAGATCCTTGCTTGACCCCTATAGTCCTTTGAGGATGTATTTGTTCACTAAATTACATTTCAAATAGCTGGACTGTGAAACAAAAGAGGTTAAGAAAGAATTTTAGGGGGCAAAAAGAAATGAGGCAGAAGGAAAATTACCCTTCTACACCATAGAATTATATATGGAAGCTTTTTTTTTTTTTCTCCAGTACTGGGGATTGAACTCAGGGCTTTTTGTGCTTGCTAGGAAATTGCTCTTTTGTTTGAGCAATGACTCCAGCCCTTTTTGCTTTTGTTATTTTTGAGATAGGGCCTCACTTTATGCCTGGGCTGGGCAGGACCTTGGTCCTCCTATTTGTGTTTCCCATTATAGCTGTGGATAAAAGGTGCATCCTATACTGTATCCAGCCATCAGTTGAGATGGAGTCTCACCAACTTTTTGCCCAGGCTGATCTGGAACTGTCATTCTCCAGATCTGTGCCTTTCAAATAGCTGGGATTATAATCGTGAGTCACTGCACCCAGCCTATTTTAAAAAGCAAGCTTCAACCTGAAACGTTACTTTCAGTTTTGTTAGTCTGAGTACCAAAGGTTTATGTAAAAGTCTTTCAAGGGAAGTGGGGGGTAAAATATTGAGAATTTCCTCTTTCTCTCCTCCCCTTCCTCTTCTGGAGAACTGATTTTATTGGGGACACTCAGTGAGGCTGAGTGAAAACCTATCCCGTGAGGGTTGAGCTCCTAGGAAGGGCTGATTCTATGTTAAGGGAAGGGAATGGGGAGTGACTTCCACCTGCCTGTTGATGTGGAGGCTCTGCAGTCAGTAGGGTGCTCACAAAAGTGCGTGCTCAGTCTGCTGTGTGTGTGGTGGGGGGGAGGGGTTGTTCTCTCTTGCTTGGAGTATATTCAGTGAGCAAAATATATGCTGGGAGAACTGGACCCCAGGAGAGGAAAATGAAATATTTACATGGATGCCAAGGATGGCATTGCAAAGGCAAAAGGAATCTCCAAAGTACTAAATCAATATTTGATTAAAAAAGAAGAAAAAAATCTTACCAACTTCAAACAGCTTGGTAGCATTGAACTCCTCATTTCCCGCAAGCAGACTCACTTCAGTGGCTGCTGTCCTGAAAGTATCTTCGATTCCTAAACACAGACAAGAGCTCATTTTCCTCTAATTATATGGAAAAAGTAACCCTCCCCAAATAAAAAAAAACAAATACACCTGAACAAAGACTTTTTTGTATTCATTCCTACTCATTGGCAGAAACCTGCCAACAGAGGAAATAGTAAAAAGCAGGTAGTAGCACATAAAATATATTAAAACCCCAGATACCATGTGCAGCATGAAATCAGATCCAAATGTGCTGAAGGAATTCTTAGGGAACTCACTTGCTGAGCCTGGATGTGAGGCTTGGGTAATGGGTGACACATCAGGGGAGTTGTCTGGTGGAATTAGGGGAACAGATTAAAGGACAAGTAGTAGAGTGTAGTGGTTAATACCTTGTCTTTAATGACTGACTGTCATTCAAATCATTGCTAGCCATGTGACTTGGACAAGCCATTTCATCTTTGTGTGCCTCAGTTTTCATATCTGTAAAACGGGGACAGCTAAATGATATATCCATCCCCTTGTAGAGTTGAATGAATTAGATGAGTGATGTATAAGAGCTAAAATTTCCCCCTTCCAATAGTTATCAATCTCTGTTTGAGGATGCAGCAGTCCATAATGGAAGACCAGATAGTTCATGTTATAGGACTTTTAGCACTGCCATACTGCCTTCGATGCCTCAGAAGATTATGTTGGGCGATTTTTGACTTGCTTTGGGGAACTGAACCCAGCTTGCCTCAAACTTCCCAGCTTCCCTAATCTCCCCTCAAAACTATTACCCCCCAATCTGTCTTTCTTTACAAACAGGAGTCCTATGTAAGCAAGAAGGGGAAGGAGTAGAAGATCATGGAACTTTTGTTGGTAAGCCCTAGCTTTCCTGCTGGGCATGACTTAATTTCCTTTAAGAGCTCTCTCTTGGATTTTATGTAAGGCCCATCAAACAGATCTGTAGGGTTGAAGTTGGGGACATACTTTTATACAGTAATCACTGCCAGGCCAGGAGACCTTGTCTATTCCATGATTCTTTCTGGGAAAGCTGAGAATCAACAAACCAATGAGGAAAAAGATCTTGCAAAAGGAAATCTCTCAGGTTTCAAGGGAGTCCTAGCAGGTTGAAACTGCCAGGAGCAGAAAGGCAGAAAGGAGTGAAGGAGGACAAGGACAGATGAGAAGATGCATGAAACAGGGCTGTTGGTCACATTGCTTTCAGCAGTACCAAAAACCAAGAAGAAAACATTCAGAATGGTGGCAGAGAAAAGCCTTCCCCCAACAAGAAATCTAAATCTACCACGTTGAGTCTAGATGCTACCTCTGGAAGAAAATACAATAAGTAAGCTCCTAAACCCGTGTTTGTATACATGTGTGGCTAAGACCAATGTCTGTCTTTCTGGTGGAGATGGAAGAGTTTAACGATTAGATTCTGGAGCCAGACGGCTTGGATTCAAATTCCTTAATTATCATTTGCTAGTGGTCTGGTGCTCCAGTTTTCATAGATGCCAAATGGGAACCATAATAAATCCCTATTTCCTGAAGCTATTATGAGGATTAGATGAAATAATACACTTAGAAATCATGAAAATTTGCTTGATTCTTAAGTACTCAAAAATTATTCTTTATCACCATGATCTTTTTCAGGTTTTTCTTCTTCAACTCTTTATTCATCTTTGTTTTCAGTATTTTTGCTTCATCTTGTTGTCTTCATCATGATTTCCTTTATCTTTTTCTTCATTTTCGCCTTCTCTTCCTCTTCATGTTCTTCCTGTCCTCCTCTTCTTCCTCATGTTAATATTTATTGATTTGTTCTTATCTATCCAAAGCCCACTCACCAGATCTCCAACTCAGCTCATTACAATGAGCACAGGAAAGATCAGGAAAAGCATCTTGATAGTTGCTCCACACTTTTGAAATCAGCATGGCTGACAGGAGCCAGAACCACCACTTCTTATATTTCAGCCCCATTTTCTACGCATGCCCTTTTGCTAACATACACACTCATTCCAATCAATCTTTCCTTTCTCTCTCCTCAGAAATCTCTTTGTGCTTCCACTTCTTTTTGTTCCAAATGTCTCTGATTTGAGAAGAGAATGTCTAGGGGTAGAAAAAGGAAGCCTGGGGTGCAGGGATCAGATTTTCTGCCTCTGAAAGGTCTTTTAGATGAAACCATTTGGAATGTGTGGTTTCTTGAAAGGGACTAAAATATTATTGTAGGCTGGATTCTACCTGGCAATGGAAACACATAATAAAATCATAGACAAGGAGTTGGTACACTTCAGTATAAAAGGTCAGAGGGTACATATTTTAGGCTCTGTGGTTCACTTATGGTCTTGAGTTGTTGCTGCCTCCTCCTCCTTCTCTTTGCAACTCTTTAAAAATGTATGAACAATACACAGATAGGTTATAGGCTGGACTTGGCCTACTGACTATAGTTTGAAGACCACCATAAAGAATCAATAACAATTATTATTCACTGTTGACATGGATCCTTTACAAAGATGGCAATCAGTTTAATTTTTAAAGCACTGACAATGCAGTATAAAGTCACAATTAAATGATAAGCTGCTCCAGTTTGCTCCCTGGACAGCCTTGGGCAGCTTTCTCATATTAAGTACAGAGCTGACAGTGTGGTGTTTCTGCATATTGCAGTTGACCTTCTTGCCCTGGCTTCCTTATCAGACCATAATGTCTGTTTTCATGTGTTTCTTCAAGTCACAACAAATCCCACATCAAAGGTCCAGATTAACCATAGTCCTCTTTTAAGTTATGTAAGTCCAACATAATACTGTCTGTTAGGTCACAGCTACTAAAATTGTGCATAAAACTCAGAAAATCCATATTTTCATCTATTAAGTTCATTATCTCTAGTTGTCTCACTCTGGTTAGAAGTCTTACTAGGGAGATGATTTTCTTTTAAAAAGACAAAATTTCAAATATAATGAACAAAGCTTTCCACTGAACTTGGAGACACAGTCCTGTGCAAACTCACCAGGGCAGTTTGGATGGTCACAGGTCCTAGATTCTGTTGCAGTACACGCATAGCCACAGGACCGAGTCCGTTTCTGGTTGCCATTCCCACAGGTGACACTGCAGACAGACCAGAGACTCCAGTCACCCTCACCATCTGTGGAATCTGGAAGGGAGCCAGGGAGATGGTCATCAACATTGCTCAAAGAGTCCCCATATCTCCTATCAAGCCATCTGTCGATTCTCCACATCCAGTATTCTCACTGTTGGAGGTGACAGTTGCCAGCCAGAGCTAAAAGACTTATAGCTTCCAGAAAACTTGAGGGCTCAGCTTTGTGAAGACAGAGAGATTTGGGGCACTGTGGTGATCAGAGCATGGCTATGGCCTGATGCCTGAAATGTGTCCATGAAATGATTATTGAGGGCACACACAGTAGAGCTTGAACCATGGAATGACCATCACCAGTTGCTTCCCTCCCTGTGCACATGTAATTGAGTGTGTGTGTGTGTGTGTGTGTGTGTGTGTGTGTAAGAGAGAGAGAAAGAGAGAATAAGAGAGAGAAGAAAATGTTTTCCTCTTCCCTAGAATCTGAGCTAGCTTTGACATTATGGCCCAACAGCTTCCAGTTTTTGCTCTGGGAAATCAAGTCACTATGAAAGAAGATCAGGCTAAACCTATGAATTATGGAGACATACATGGAAAGAGAAGGTCCACATGACACTAGACATGGGAGTGAAGCATTTTTGAGCTTTCCAGCCCTTCTCAGTAAGCTGAATGCAGCTGATGCCTTTAAGAGTATGTGAACTTCCCAGTGGCCCTGCCTGGACTCCTGAGCCATCAATCATGACAAATAATGAACTGCTGTAGTTTTAAGCCACCTAGTTTGAAATGGTTTATTATGCTGCAATAGATAACTGGTAAAGCTAAATAGCCTTTAAGATCATTACTTAACATTCATCCAATGAGTATTCATTCATTGAGCCCTCATTATATATCAAACAGAATTCTAGGTATATGGGAGATAATCATTAAAACCTTTTTTCAAAGTTCCCTACCTTGGTGGAATTAATATTTCATAAGAAAATGGAGTCAACATGTATGAAAATGGCAAAATGAGATCTGTGGAAACTATTCCAGGAATGGGGAAGGAGGGATAAAGGAGACTGATGGAGGGGTGAATTCAACTCTGATAAGTTGTAAGAACTTTGGGAAATGTCACAATGTACCCCCAGTACAACAATAATATTAAAAAAAAGAAAAAAACCCAACAGAAAAAGGGCTGGGTGCATGGCTCAAGTGGGAGATAACCTGCCTAACAAGTGCTAGGCCCTGAGTCCAACCTCTAGTACTGCCAAACACACACACACATACTCACACAAAAGTGTCAGGCTGCTGGTGACCTCTTGTGGGCCCAGCTATTTGGAAGGCAAAACTGGAGGATCATGGTCCAAGGTCAGCTTGGGCAAAAGTGAGAGAACATATCTGAAAAATTAAAGCTAAAATAGCTGGGAGAGTGACTCAAGTGGAAGAGCAAATTGCCCAGCATTTGCCCAGCATTGTCCAGGGAGAGTGACTCAAGTGGAAAAGCAATTGCACAGCATTTGCCCAGCATTGTCCAGGTTCTGTGTTCCACTGAAAAAAAGTACACTTAGCCTTTGACCCAGCAATTCCACTACCAAGAACTGGTTTCCTATGGATTTACTGCACATAAGGCAAAGGCAAGAACTAAAGAGCTCATTGTGTGTAACAACAAATGCTGCCCTGCTTTTGCCCAAGCTGACCCTGGACCATGATCCTCCTACCTCCTAAGTACCTAGGACCACAGGTGTGTGTCACTATGCCCAACTTGATTTTGGCATAGGGTCTCACAAACTTTTTGGCCTGGGCTGGCCTCAAACTAAGGTCCTCCTATCTCCTCCCAAGCAGAGACTAAGTATACTTTGGTTTCAGTAGATACCCAGTGCAAAGTCATTTGTGAAGTGGACACATCACAAATCCATCCAAATGATATAGAAATGATGTCACAGAAAGCACACAGCAGTTCTACACAGAGTGACATCAAGCAATATCTAACATGTCTTATTAACTAGAGAGGAATTGTGCGTCTGTGTTTTTAAAATAGATTCACAGGTTTGTGTAGGCATAAAATATTTATAGAAGAATAATAAAGAGACCAAAAATGCTTTATGTATATCTTCTTTGGCTGTTTGAGAATGTTACCACATAGATGTGTTATCTGCTTAATTAAAAAAAACTAGCTATAAATAAACAGAAGAAGAAAATAGAGTCAACAAATACAAAAGTCTGAGAACTTATATAGTGTATTAGAAGCTGATAGATGGTGTGGAAAAAGGAAACGAAGACCAGGATGGGGGGCCTGGGAGTGGGAGAGATTTGTACATTATCAAGATTGGCTTTCTCTTACCAGAAGTAAAGATAAGTCCTGGAGTGGTTGGGGGACTTGTCTAAGATCACTAGGTAAAGAGACAGGAAAGCATGAACTCCAGCTTCAAGTCCTTAATCTCTACAGCATGAGTCTTTCTTCAATACCTCCACTTTGTAATAGTTTCTCTGGCTTTATACACATCTTCCCACAGCCTTGGGGCCTCTGTGGGCGCCAAGTAGGGGCTTCAGGCATGTGCCATATAGGGAAGGGGTGCCCTCCACGCATAACAGGTCATGGTGGTTGCTATTACATATGCTCAGCAAGAATGTCATCCACACACGTTTCTACCTGAACTGTGGGCTCCATGCCAGACTCCCAGGCTGTTTACGTGCATTTACTGTGAACACTCCTGAGGCAGGCCCTGGGCTGCTGAGCCTTCTTAGCCCACTGCACAGAATCAGAGTGTGTGTGGAGGGCACTTCATGACTGTGTCCTCTTCTCAAACTATGAATGGAGAGTTTTGCCCACATCTCACTCTCCCCTGGGTGTCATATCCATTTCTCTTTCTTCTCCCAAAAAGAATTTCTCCAGACTTTGATTTTGTTCTAAGAAATTGGCTTTCTAATCACAAAGCCAAGCAGATGTTTGAAACTACTTCTCCATGTTAAGGAATTGGGCCTCCCTCTCCAACACTAGCCTCCTTCATTTCTACCTTTTCTTGTTAGGTATTTACCCAGTAGGCCTAGAGAGACAAGTTGCCTCCAGAGAGCGCAGCCACTGTGCTTTGTGAGAACTTTGCAGTCTATTATCTAGCCACAGTTTCCCCAAGAACACCAGAGATGTACCTGGAACAATCACACAACCGCATCCTTGTCAAGGGTGTACCATATATGCACACATTCCATCATGTTCTGCTCACACCCGTGGGGCCAGATTTTGTTAAAGAGAACAACAACAAAAACAGCCACAAGGAAAGATTATAATATTTTACGCTTATAAAAATGTGGAAGTAAAAAAAGATTATTAAATCAGACAGGTAGAAGTCACATCATCTGTGGAATGGATAGCAGCATGAGATATAATCAAATGATGCTAAGTGGTACCCTGCTTGGTTTCACAAAAGCAAAGGGGCCTCAACCATCCAGAAATCTCTTGCAGCCTTTCCTTCTCATGACATTACATAAAGAGCTAATTTGGGGAAATAGCTCTAAACTTTCAGATTTTAGCATGAAACTGTGAGGCTTATATTAGAATCTCTGCATGAGGTTTACGTCATACTTTGGTTTCTTGAATCTAAATAATTAAATGTGAATATGGTGTCAGATTATATGAATAACAATGCCCCATAACTCCTCTCTCCATATCCACTTGTTTGGTCGCTCCTCACTGATCCTAGGTCACATGACTTCCTTTGGCCAACAGGACAACAGCAAATATGATGTACGTAGAGGTTTGCAAAATGCATGAGGAGTTGCCCTCGTTAGCTATAGGAAACCTTTCCACTACCATGTGAAGAGCTTAGAGTAGTTTCCTGGAGGGAGAGGGACTAGGAGAAGAGAGGTCCCAACTATCTCAGATACCCTGGCTATCTAGCTAGGGCCCCATTATGGCAAGCGAGGCCCCTGGAAAACATCCATTACCAGGCAAGTCAGCTCAGCCCTGACAAATGATCCAGACAACCCCAGGCTCATGAGGGAGAGCCCTTCTGTTCTTTGAAGCTACTAAATTTTGGTGGTGGTTTCTTTCTGTTATCCTTCCTTTTTTTGGTGGTATTGGAGTTTAGACTCAGCTCCTTGCCAGGAAGGTGCTCTACTACTTGAGCCATGCCTACCAGTCCTTTTTTTTTTGCTTTTAAGTATTTTTCAGGTAGGGTCTCATGCTTTTGTCTAGAACAGCCTGGACCATGATTCTCCTATCTATGGCTTCTGTGTAGCTGGGATTACAGATGTAAACCACCGGCTTTTTTGTAGAAATGGGCTCTTGTTAAATTTTGCCTGGGCTGTAATCTGCCCAATCTCCACTTCCCAGGTAGCTGGGATTACAAGCATGAGCTGGGGGTGGTTTCTTAAGCAACAAAAACTAAAACTAACTCTTACAAATAAATCAGAAAACCATTCTAAAATGTGCTCCCTTGACAGGTGACAGCTGCCAGACCCTGGAATCATCAAGGATTTATTTTCCCAGAGGATAGCTTTCTTTACATCTTTATTTGAAATGTTTGCAAAACTAATCTTTTTTGTAAGGGTCCCTAAAAATTATAGGATACATACAGTGTTATGATTAATCATTTCTACTAAGCCTAGTGAGGCAAGAGAAGAGTTTCCCAGGAAAGGCTGCATGTCAGCTCACTACCCTGAAGCCTCCTTCACACATTGGTCTAGATCAGCTCTTCAGCAAAGGTCTTCTTGGGGGTTCCATATGTTTCATGAGGTCAAAGGACAGAAAGGGGGTTTCTGCTGGAACAAAGCTTTAAGGGATGGGGAGTCCTTTTACCATAATAAAACCCACTCAATGACAGGGAGTATTGCTCAGAGCAGAAAATGAGCGTCAGTGGCATTAGTCCCAAAGACAACAAAGACAGGAAGAAACAGTTCCTGTGAATATTTCTGTGGTGTTTTGACAGCCCCTATCTGTGACATCACAGAGCTCCCCAGGGAAGTGGGTTGACTGCTGGGTTTCAAAACTACCCTTTTATAGTTTCAGGATACTAGGGTTCTGTGGGTCAGTTGTCCTGTCAGAGCAACTGAATTGACTTTGGTCTTGGCTTGGTCACTGGAAAACCTACACTACTAATCCTGAATGATAGTGGCTACATTTAACTTGGAGAGGAAGGTGGAGACATCTTCCTTTTATGGATAAGAAAACTGTGGTGCAGAGAGGTTAAGGTACTTGCCTAAGGACAGCTCAAACCTGGCAGAGTTGGGATTACATCTGAAGTCTACATGTTCCTGCCATATCCTGTTCTTTACTCTGATGTTCTGGAAGTTTTGATTTTGGCTCAATTTGGTCTCCCTTCTTTAAGGTACTTACTGATGGGGCCATAATTCAAATTTACAAAGAAAAATCTATGAAAATATTTACTGTTAAGTCTTCTATTAAAATAGGACTATGGCTACTTAGAGAGTTTCAAAAAAATGAGTCCTAATCTAGGAACTAATTTCATTATTAGAAATTTGGAGAATATTATAGTAGTGTTAGATAGAAAAGTATTTATTTAGACTCTTTTTTTGCCCTGGATACCTGAAGTATCTATATGGAAGGTGTTTCAAAACCTACTTTCCACAGTTCAGCTGACTATGGCATCATCACAATCACAAATCAGGCCTGTCTTGTGTTGTATATATTATAACTCCTCCTCCACCCCACAGATGCCATTATATCTTATTTATTTCACTTGGGAGATTTTTTTTTTTTTTTTGGTGGTGGTGGTACTGGGGTTTAAACTCAGGGCCTTGCACTTGCTAGGCAGATGCTCTGCCAGCCCACCTAGGAGTTTTTGAAGTAGTCTCTCCTCACAAACATTTAAACTCTTCTTCTGATTCCTATCTCCAAAAGTCTACCTCTTCCACAATGACCAGTTCCCGTGGAAATTCTAGCCTGTCTCTGGCAGGACAGCAAGGACTGAGATACAGCAATCTACAGAGCTTTGCTATTGTGTGAACCTCACCTTTCAGGATGCTGTGTTCTCTCTCTGTATCTTCCCCACCAGTATCCAACACAGGGATAGTTAGAAATTGCAGAATAGCTTTCTGTTGATTGAAATAAAAAAAAGGAATTCCTAGCTCATCCGATGCTATGTAGAATTTTGGAAAAGATGTGTCCCTTAAGATACTCTGAGAAATAATGATCATTCACTAGTTCCCCCAGTGCTACTGAAGGCCTCCCATGCACTTGGAATCTTGCTGTACCATGTGAGGTCTGAGGGCCAGTGGGGCCAGCTTCACCTGGGTTCTTGCTCCTTTCCTAAACCTTCTGTATTATGGGTTGCATTGTTATAATACCCCAGGTTACTTGTACACACACTGCAGTTTGAGAAGCACTGCTTCTAGTACTAGAATAAGCTTTTCTTTATAAAGTTATCTTTATGTTGATATCTAGTCTAATGAGGGAAAAACTACTAAGAGATACTTGAAAATCTCAGAATCTGGGAGCTTCTGCATGGTCTGGGGATGCTGTAAGATCCTGATGTAGGGAGCACTCTAGGCACTGAAGGTCTAAGAAGCTGGGGTGAGGGTGGTTGAGGCAGCCACAGTAACTGACCCAGTAGTAGGAAATTCTATCCTTGAGATAAAAAAGGTGGGCATGTTCTCAGTGTTCATGAATCCAGCAAAGTGGACTCTGTAAAAGTGTTAGATGAAAATGTTGTTCTTAGCAGTAGTCTTCAAACTTGAGTAAGCAATCACCTTGTGCCTTGGTTGAAAAAAAATTTAAAAAGAAACACAGATTCCAGGTCTCACTCTTAGACCTTCTAATTCAGTAGATGGTGAGCAGTGATCTTAAGTCTGGGTGTCCATTGGTATCACCTATGGAGCTTTAAAAGACAGGGAAGTCTGAGACATACCCACAGAGAGCTGGTGAAAGGTGTGGGCATTAGGAGTTTAAAAAATTCCACAGGTGAGTAGAATGAGCAAAAGATTAAGACCTATTGTGCTCAGACAGTGGTCCTTATAAGATAGAAGGGCTTATTGAAACCCAGATTTCTGGGATCTACTCTAGATTTATTCAGGTGTGGAGTAGGGCCTGAAGATCTGTATTTTGATCACCTTCCCGGGTGATGCTGGTGTTGTTGGTTTGGAGGCCATACTTGGAGGACCACTAGAACTTAGAGAAGGGGTCAGGGCCCAGGATTGGTATTCTTTTCTTTTAACATGCAACTGAGGGATTCTGATGTCAAGTGTCTGAGCCACCTTCTCAGAAACAATATTCTTTGTGGGCTGGGCAAGTTTTGTACAATCTCATATAACATTTGTGAATTCTAATTCTCTTATTCAATAGCACTGGTCTTTTCCTCCCATTCCTATCTTCCAGTCTAAGCATTCATATCTAGAGGCCCTTACTGATCTAAGGGATATGCTACTTTTCCCCTAGAGAGGTGGAATAGGATAGTGCTTAAGAGGGAAGATTTTGGATCCAAATTGCCTGGGTTGAAACCCAGGCCTTGACCCTCCAAGTCAAGTTGCTTAATTTCTCCAGGCTTTAGTTTTCCCATCTGTACGAGATTATCTGCCTCAGAGAGCTGAGTAAATGAACTAATGGATGTGAAATGGCATGAAGAGGGACTAGTGCACAGGAAGTACTTATAAATGCTGGCTGTTGTCCCCAGACCTTCCTCTTGGCAGTAGATAAATTGGACTTCCTCTGGGAAATGTGAAATTGTCACATGTCTGGATGGAAGGATATGGAATTCTGTTTCTTCTCCTCTAGCACTTAATGTACATTTCTATCATGGAACTGTTTCACCCTATCAGTTAATTTTCTTCCTTTGATCCTCTTTAGAGATCCTCTCTAGCATAGTGTCAGCCACAAGGCATGCTCTTAATAAATGTTGGTTGATGCGGTTGGGAAAAAGTTGGCTTGCTGTCTTGGAAGTTGCCTAGAATCATCTACTAATGGTAGAAATGACTCCACAATATAAAACTGGCCTTTTGTAGAAAAATGGGGGTAAATATGAGCATGCAAATGGTTTGAGTCATCCCTATCAATGTACTGTTCACTCCTAGGTCTGCTGTTGGTGAAGCCACAGAACATTATAATGATGGGTGCATTTGTAAGACATCAGCTATTCTTATAACACACTGCATGATTCCCTACTAAAGATGGCCAGGTGCTTGTCAAACTTATATCCTACTTTTCTTGGATACATAGAATATAATTCCCAGCCTCCCCGCCTTGCCAATAGAGTTTGAGTAGCTGTGATGTGTGTCGCTGTCAAGCTGAGGGAATTAACACCATGTGTGCTCTCTTCAGGTTCTCTCTTACCAGCATCCACGACATAACCCACAGGACCTAACAGCTGATGGAGCTCCAAGATGGAAGGAGGAGGCTGGATCCCTGAATGACTGACAGGAGCTACATTCCCTCACCCTGTCTTCCATCTCAACTCAAGTGAGAAATGAACTTTTATCATTTTAAGTCATTGGATTTGGAAGTTCTTTTGATACCTCATATCTCTTACTCTAAAAACAGTGGAAACTAGTAGTCTCAATTTAGAGTTCTTAATTTATTGGGGGGGGCTTATTTTGACAATCTGTGACACACATGTTCATGTGTACCGAGGACCACTCCACTGCCAATATCAAACAGTTCCCTGGTCAAAGGAAGCAGCTGCATGTGTCTGTTTTATTAAATTGATTTTTAATATGAATGTTTACAGTAAGGAAGTTAATCTGATAATTTCATTTTTAGAAATAAAACTAAAATTTTGGGACAGAAGAGACAGAAAGAAACCCAATGACTCTAAAATAATTCTCTCCTAGGATAATTGGTATGATTTGAAAATTACAGTCTTTCCAGAAATATGTGGCAGCTGGTGCCTTCTTGGGGCTTCTGTGGAACAGAGCCATTATGAGGTATGCCTCAGAGAAGGTCAAAAGCCACATATCGTAAACTGGGTTTTGCTTGGCTCCATGTCCCTTAGGCCTCATCATCCTCATTTATCTCCCCACCAATTTTACATTACTGGGTGGTAAACTCACCATATTCTGGCTGTTCTTTGGTTTCAAAAGTCCGGTGGCCTGGGGCTGGACGGTCCCATCCCCTGGGGGGGTTGAGGAAGTTGCTGTCATCTGATGTACTGTCGTATTTGTAGTCTTGGTCTCCGCTGTTTGCCCTTGCCAAGGACAAGGACCTCTGCCACCAGGCTCGCCAGTCAGGGGATGGGACTGACCAGCTGGGCTTATTCTCCGGATGCTGATCTTTATCTGCTTCAGAGTCAGGACCGTCGACCACCTCTATGGTGACCTGAGGAATTCAGAACAGGCCAGGGTCAATGTGGAGTCAATAACCTCCAAGCTATGTGACCCTTGGAAGAAAGTCTGAGAGAGCTGAGTGAAGTGGTGTCTGCATCCCTCCAGAGAGAAGTCTGAGATTGCATGGTGATAGAGAATGGAAAACATCCAGCAATGGCCCACATGAATTCCATGAGTAGATGGAACATGGCCTCGGGTTGGGAGGAAGCAGACTTTACTGGACGACTAAATTGTTTGAAAGCCTTTCATTCAGGGGTAAATGTATACTATATGTGTTCCTGAAGTGATGCAAGAATAATTATACTAAAACAAAATGCTTACTGAGCACTAACTGTATCACACACCGTTCCACATGATCTGCCCATATGAGTTTATCTAATCCTCCTAACAATACCTTATTCCTATATCATCACCACACCTTTGATCAACAATGGAGTCTATTTCCCCTTCCTTTTCATCTGGGCTAGGCTTGTGATTCACTTGGTCCAGTTGACTGGATATGTGTGACATTGACAGGTCTTAAAGGATCTTAGAGCTTCCATTTTCTTTCTCTTGGAATCAGTATGTAAGGATGCCCAGCCTAGATCACTGCATTTGCAGAAACCATATAAAGAGAAAGCCTAAGTGATGGAAAACTGACACATCTCAACCACTGTCCATTCTAAGGCACTAGTCATGTGTTTAGAGCCATCTTGGATCCTGTAGTCATAGTTGGGTTACCCCAATGATGCCACATGGAACCCAGACAAGTTCTCTTGGCTGAGTCATGCTCAAATTCCTAATTCACAGGACTCTGAACAAGCTAGCCATTGCTTCAAGCTATTAAGTTTTGGGTGATTGCTATATAGCATTGGATAGCTTTTTATAGACAAGGAAAACTGGCATGCACAGACACTAACAACCTGCTTAAGGTCGCAGAGCTAGTAAGTGACAGATGTGGGGCGTATGGCTCCAGAGACCATGCTCTTACCAACTTTGCCACACTGCTTCTCAAAAAAGTAAGTGATAGAAGTGTGGTCCCCACATGAGACTGAGGGAACAAAGAGGCTACAGGGGCTGGTGGTGGGCTGGATGCCATAGGGTGTGTAGGGATGTGAGCACAAGACCCTCAAGACCAGGCTTTCCTGGCTGTAATTTTCATAGTCAAGATCCAGCCTCAGGGTCAAAGCAGATAGTTCTAGAGCTGAGGTTAGATCTTGTTCTTTGGATTGACAAAGCCTGTTATGGGGCTGGAAGAATGTAGCTTCTTGGCTATAAGAGACAATCAACATAGAGAAACTTGTTTAAAAATATAATAAAAGACTCATTGGGTTCTTTTGGCCATCACATAGCTCTTGCAACACCCCCTGGATGAGTTACATGCAAATGAATCAGAAACACACGCTCCAAGTAATCAGCGCAAGATGTACTGGGAAGATGCATTCCCAGTTTTGCCCTGACCTGACATCTAAAGAGTTGCTGAGATGCTCTGCCAAGTTGCACTGGGGAGTGCCCATCCCTGAGACAAACAGTCCCTTCTTTTTGTGGCCTGAGGAGGTTTGATTCCTGCTCAATTTGACATTTAAAGGAAGCTAGTTGGTCAATGGTGGTCCTGGGCTGTGGTTTCTTGGGGTCTAGGCACATGGTTGAGAAAGTGGCCTTCAATTCCAGAGTGTACTCAGACTTTGGCAGGTCAAGTGCATCTTTCTCCTTTGCTACGGGATACCTAGAAGAGCACCATTAGCTTTATCCCTTCCACGCCACTACTCTAGTCTTGTAAGCATCTCTTGTACATTTATAAATAATTACAAAGCTTTTAAATTAATCCCCCAAAATAAAAAAGTGAAGGGAAGAAAAGAAATACATCACATATTTTATATCATTGTTTGCTGGAATGGATGTTACTGGACGGTATTGGTTACTGGGGCCCACATGGAGCCCCGGAAGGACGACATAGAAAGAGTACACAGCTGGGTAGTATAGAACCAATGAGGGCAGAGGCAGGCAATGCTGAGCCTTTGAAGACACAGTCTTTCTCCTCTACAGCTATGTCCCCCTCTGCCTACAGACAGAACCACTGAGCTGCAACAATTGTCTGCAAGGCTATTAAGGGTATTGGAGTGGAGAGGCTGCCAAGAGCCAGGCAAGCCTGCAATTATGGTAATGAAATCAGTCTCTGGGTAGGAGATAAGGAGGAATGTGCCCAACAGTTTTGGTATTCCATTTGTATTCAGACTGGAGTCAAAGGGATTGCTCAAACAAAATGTGCCCTGCAATTTCTCCAGGCTGGGAATAAAAACAATTTCATGTTTCAAGCTATTACCGTCAATACGATTTTTTTTTTCCAAATTGCTGCTCAGATCCAAACAAAATAGATTTCTTGCCTGGCCAGGCAATGAGTAGCAAAATATGAATTTACTCCAAAAGCTATATCAATGACTAAATCTCAACAGCTTAGAGGTTTCTCTTTTCTCTTTAATTTCTAGCCACTACCCCAAATGAATTACAAACCAAAACAAAAAAACAAATCTTAGGGTCCTCCCTTCCTCACGGCTAACAATGTAGAAAACTCATACTGATATCAAAAGAAGAAATCTAATCTTGAACCTGAAATTTCATAGGCATCCAGTTAAAAAGATTTAATGAGCACGATAAATGACTTCTCAAGTGGTACAGATTAGTTTTATATTTCTGTTGTTCTCATTCTATTTACATATTTTTTATTATCAAGGAATCCTTTTGCAAACATGTCTTGAACAATAATCAATGTGAAAGAGCTGGAAGTGTGGAGCAAGCACAGCAAATTTCCAAGCTCACAAAGACTCTAGATCACTCCAAACTTTCTCATCCTTAATATACATAATTGAGACATCTTAGTATATTTAGTAAAAGAAAATGAGCTCTTTCAAAAGCTCCACATCAATATCTGGTAGAATGTCCCCAGGTCCAAGAAAGAGAGTCCAAAATAATATGTCAATTTTGAGAATTCTGCCCAAATTTGGGGAATGAGGATAAGATCCTATGTACTGTGGTCAGCTTTTTAAAAGCAAACTCTCTACTATGTCTGAAAAACACTTTCCATAGCAAAACTAAGATAATTCTCAGACTAACTGATAGTAAACCAATGCCACAGAGAATATGGAAGCCCTGAGGGCCAGACAGATCCTAGGAGAGTCTTCTCTCATTGGTCCTTTAAACCTTGTGACTAAGGGGACTGAGTGGATGTGGATCAGTATTTTCCAGAGAGAAAAAAAAATTTTTTCTCAGGAGCACAGAACAGCCAGGGATATGTCAGCAGCAAAGGTTTTTACAATCCTTCTTTAACAACTACAGCAGAAAGAACACAAAATGGACTAAGATATTTAATCCTCTTGTTTCAGACCCAGTGATGCTCTAAAAACAATCATGGTATCCCCAGATAACTGTGGTTAGTGCTCTGAGATTTATAGCAGCATGCTTGCCCAAATATTATTCCCTATTCTACACAATTCAGATCCAATTTTTAGGGACAGAAACTGGCCTGGAGAATTCAAGTTGCCACAGTAAACAGCAAAGAAGGTGTAGAGCTGGTCTTAAAACTAGGTCTTCTAAATTCCAATTATTTTAATAAAACTTTCTCCACCATTTTCATCCCCAGCATCATCACCAATCAGCATCTATTAGTTCTGGGAAGCTTACCATATACATGGCCCCATTACTAAGTGCTTTATGTGGGTGATTTCATTTAATCCTCAGAGATACTACTACTTAAGTGTAGCTTTTATATGACATAGGTACTCATAGGTGCTACTCTCCAATTTTATAGACAAGGAAACTGAGGTACAGAGAGGTTGACAAAACTGCTTGAGGCTACAGAGCCCAAGTCTGACTAACTTAGTGGTGATGCCAGATCCCAAACACAGCTATGTCTGAGTCCATAGTTCATGTTATCAACAGCAGTGCCCAGGAGAGTCTGAACTGTACAGGCTTGTCCCCATGGGTGTATGGATCCATATCTTGGACACAAACATTTCTTATCTCTCTTTTCAGACAGATCTGCCATTCCAAAAGCGTTTTAGAGAAAAAGGAGGAGGGAAAATTAGAAGTAGAAGCATGTCTGACATTTCTAGCCCTACCCAACTCCTCTGGTTGTATCTTGTGGCACTCAAGATGCCATGTGAATAAGTCTGTGCAAGGAAAGGAAGGATTTTACATGGCTGTTTTAAAGTCTCTTTCAAAGGAAAAAAGAAATAATCGTATTGGTTGAAATGGATACTAACCTTAGTTTGATACAGAAAAGAGAAATATTTGTTGTGAGAAATATTTGGCTCTAGTAATGAATTGATACAGTAAGTCCAATAATGACTTTATTTTAAAGAATTTTGTTCTTGCTATCTGACCATCAGCTGAAAACCAAAAACTCAGCCAAGGATACTAAAATGTAAGTCTAACTTATCCAGGGGGATTTAAATTTAACATGGTGGTTCAGCTCAGGAGTTTGAGAACATTTTTTTTCTACTTTGTGCATTATTGTCCCTCCCCTACCCCAACTCATTTCTACACCCTGAAGTTAGTCTTAAAGTAGAGAATCTGATTCAGTAGGGATAGGGGCTTCCTGACTTAAAGTGTTTGAAATGCTCTACAGAAGCAAATGGTGGCTTTCATAAGGATTTCCCACCCTAAAAGTCAAGAGGTCCAAGGGACACAGCCCTTTGCATGGATTAAGCAATATTACTTGGGAGAGGTGCAGGCTGTTTTTAAATGAGGGACAGAAGACCTAGCCCTGGAGTGTGGGAAATACTTCCAGAGTTTGGAGTGGTGGTCGGATTCAGAGAAAGGGGATTAAGTTCCTTGGATCCAGCTTGGGATAACTAGGCGGGGCAAGAGGCAGGTTGCCAGGGACAAGTGCAGATGAGGCCAGAGGCCTTGGCAGTGGAAACCCATCCACTGATGTGGCCCTTACCTACTACCCAGGAAGAAAAATGCTTTGAGGGGACCCATGATGACCAGTGGGGCTATCTGCTTGGATGAATTGGCTCTGTGTCAATCCAGTAAATTTCAATAAAAGAGCAGTTCTCTAAAGAAGGGGTAAGGTTTGCCAACTTGGAAACCATCACCCTCTTTTAAAAAGCACCTAATGTTTTAAAGACCACTAGGGAACTGGTTTACTTAAGTGCAGTCGTGCATGGGGCTGTGCATTCACATATGCACACACACACACACACACACACACACACTTACATGCAGATATAGGACTGGGGCACCCAGGGATAGCAGCTGATTCATTCTTTGTTTGAACACATGATTGTCCAATGCTGACCTTTTGTGGTCTTCTAGAAAAAGAAGGCCATAAATTCAACTCAATTTTCTTTAGGGCCAAAAAGTCAATGGTTCATCCCTCTGTACTGTCTGCAGAAGGTCAACAGACACAGGGATAGTCTAAAGCAGAAATGGAATAACTGGACTGAGTAGTGGGCAAAAGGTGGTTTTGGCCTGCTCTGTTTGGGCATTTGACTTTAATGGTATCTATGTTGAAGCTGCATTAATTTCAAATCCATTGTGCCAATAACCCTGATAGTTAGAGGTGTAGGAAACCTTTACTCTTAGAAGTTACAGCCGTCTTTGGTATCCAAAAATAACTCCAGAAAAATGTGGAGACCACCTTAGAATATCCCGGTCCTTCTTCCCACCCTGTCCTCCCAAGCATCCCTTTTGAAATTGGTACCTTTTGGAAGTGCTGGGGTAGAATAAAACAAAGTGAAACCAAAGCACTGATTGTGAATTTTCACGTGTTATAAGTCCACATAAGCAGATGGCTGGGGGGCCTCAAGGGGCATGAAGGCAAATGATTTCCACTTATTGACATACTTTTGTGACAGCTCACAAGGAAGCTGCATTTTATAAAAGTCCAAGGGGTTTTGCCAGAAAGAACCTCAGGCTGCCAGCATTCGTGGCCCCACAGGGCCTTCTCATAATTCATCCTGCATTTATTTTCTGCTCACTGGCCTCACTCTAGATCTTTCTACACTCAACAACTCTTTCCACTCCCAGGTGGAATTGTCCCAAAGTGTCCCTTACTTCCCATTTGGCAAAATAACACAGATTATTATGTTGAAAATGAATTATCATCTTGGCTATTCTACTGAGATCATGCCCAGATCTATCATGTGGGCTGTAGAGGGCTCAGCACTTCCTGGTTGCCCTATTTATTTTTTCAAGAAAAATAATCTGTGATTCTGAGTTCTTTGTATTGTAACAGTCTTTGCACCACTGTTGTTCCTGAAAATTTACACAGTACTTTAAAAAGGCCCAAGTGGGGTCCTGGTAGAGGATGGGCATTTGCAGACTGATGGGTTTATCTAGGAGAAAGAAAAAGGATACTGAGAAATTCTGTCCCAAAACTCATTTTGTAGCTAAAGCGTAAGGCACCCAAGTAACTTTTCAATGAAAAACAGTTGAAGAGCCTGCATCCTTGTATTCCCCAGCATCGGGGCATTTTTCAATAACTTTACATTGGCAATTCTTAAATCTATTACTCTGACATTTCCTGCCTCTAGGTAAAAATGCTAGTAGTCGTAGCAAGTTAAAGATTGTTTTGGACATGGCCTAATCACCTTTGGAGTGAGTGCTATCTGGTCCTAGAATCAGAAAACCTATAAACAATGAAAAATTACTTCCCATAAAGGAAGCCATGACAGGGAGCAATATTGAGCTATGGTATGGAGATGTCTGTGCCTTTTTTGCTAATCTGCATCTCCCCCAAGTGGGCCCACTGCTCTTTATCAGAGAACCATGCGGCCAGTTCCCAGAGAGGGAGCACTGGAGCAAGAGGCCTATTTTTCCAGTGAGTCAATTAGAACAACACAACACTCATCAGAAATATTAACTGGGGCATGCAGTGATTTCTCTGCATGAGTTATCAATTGTGATCTCCAAAACATTTTTCACTTCTGGAGTTTCTACAGCACTCTGCCTGACTTCTTCACATCTACCATCCACTTCAGAACACAGTGCTTTTTTTCCTCCTCTGTCTCTGGGATCGCACTGGGACTGTCCTTTGTAGTTCTGGGATGTCCATACCAGTGTCATTTTCTGGAGCACAGGCACAGGCCTGTGCTTCTTAATTTCTCATAACCTACTGCAGTGTTTTGCACACAACACTGGATATTTGGTATATTCTAATTAGGTTGGGTTCTCAGTACCATTTGTCAGTCAAAATGATACTAATGTTAATGAGCAAAACAATTCTTATGAAAGAAACCTGATCAATTGCTCTGAGTCTAAGTTAAGGAACTTTTTGCCAAATAAGTTAATAGGCATTTGGTGAAGAGAGGAAGAATAAGGAAAAGCTGTCCCTACACAAATGAAAAGAATCAGAACAAAGCTTAGAAGTATGGAAGCAGGTATATAAAGATAGGAACTGGATAAGGGTTAGGCTTTCTACCCTGCTAGGGGTAAGCCTCTCTTAGCCATCATGGAGACCATCTTTGAGAAGAAACAGAAGAAGGTACAAGCAACCTTCGAAATTAGTTGTTTGTTGCTAAAGCACAGATTGGTGGTGAGTATTTTTGGGAATCTGAGAGCCCCACAACTACTGTCAATTAGCCAAATGACCTTGGATAAATAAAATAGTAACTTCCTGAATACCTGTTGTATTATTTGTAGCATTGGAAAAATGGCACATGCTTCATCTCCTTCATGAGGATGTTTGGAGGATCAAATCAGATTGGCATTTGCCATTTCTGTATAGATGAATGTTACTATTTTTAATCCCAGTCACCCTTTCCCTTGCTTCCTATTTCTCTCTGCTTCATCCAATGCCATTTTAATGTAACATATTTATCTCTCTCCTGGGAACTACCATTCTCACCTCCCTTTCTCTTACCAACATTTTTTGTTTTTTGGTTTTTTTTGGTCAGTCATTTACACATTAGAGTAACCGACAGTTGTCTTCTCCTGAAGAAATCTTTTGTGCTGAAGGCAAGCTAGCAAGGCACTGAGAATAAATGCCTTCTTGAGTGCTTCGAAGTCATACCATGGTTTTCCTGGTCTATTCACAAGCCAGACTGGCCCTTTTCTATAACTACTACATTTCATCAATTTTAAGATATACTATTTTGTTTTATTTTTACATTTCATTGATATATTGTCTCTGAATATATCTTATAATCTTATTATCTTATAATATAAATATATTTTATAATCCTTATTGTGTCATACTTCTGTGTTTTCTTTTTTGAGTGGTTCATAAAACAGTTGTGACTTTCATAAGTGAAAAGCAACACTATTCTCATAGAAATAACGTGATCATAAGCAGTAATCATTAGTGGGTTAAGAAGAAAAGTGAGATACGGTAGTAGTTTCCATTGGAATCAGATTAGAAAACAAAAGATGGACTGTTTCATTTTGTCTACCTTCCAGCTGCCAAGAATTACCTGAATATTTGGATTCTGCCCATTGATATCAGCTTTGGAAAGATCTGGAAAGTTTGGTAGATCCAGGAGAAAGGATCTGGGGCCATCTCTTTGCAATGAAGGGTGTCCAGACTCTTGTGGGAATCGCTGTCTGGGAAAGGGTTGATGTGCAGCCTGGTGGTCCAGATGCCCCCCTGGTGCTTCTTTGGAGAGAGGAAAGCTGGTTTCTGATGTGGAGTCACTCTCTAAGTTAAAGTTATTCTAAAAACAAACAAATAAGCAAACAAATAAATAAGAAGCACATGATTAAAAGTGCCACTCTTAATAGTCCATTAAATTCAGGAGCAAAACAATGCCAGTGGCCGGAATTAGGCCAGCACAGAATTACAACTCATTTTGTTATCACATGGTTTAATTTCTACATCTTAAAAAGTCACGAAACTTCTCCCAATCTCTTACCTGGGAATTTTTGATTGTTATTGAGTTATGGACTATTTAGTAAACACAAAAGTACATAAAAGAGCTATTTTGAAGAATAGGTGCTCATTTAAAGCTGAACTGAATTATAGTTTTCTTCTTACTGTTTCAACTGAGTAATTACCCTGGCTTTAATTATAGTCTTAGTTTCCAGTTTGGTTTCTTTGGTGTGGGTCATGAAGAAAAAGATCTGACAAAACTAGATAGAATACTGAATCCAAGCCATTGAGTATGTCCATGTGTCCATTTGTCACTCCATCAGCCTACTCCTTTTTTCCTTTATCCACCCATATCTGTCCATTCACCTATCATTCATCCATCCATCTATTCATCCAATCAACAAATGCCAGCCACATGCTAGGCACAAGATACAGCAATAAATAAGATAGACATAGAACCTACTCTTTTGGAGTATACATCTAGTTGAGGGGAATGAACAATAAATAAATAGATAAATAAATAAGACCAGATTAGAGGCTAGTGACTGTCAAGAATAAAAGAAAGATAAAATGATGTAGAAAATATGGCGGACAGGGAAAACCTCTCTGAGATGATAACATTTGGGAAAAGATCTGAGCAAGAGAAGGAAGCACCCTGCAATGATCACGGGGAAGGACATTTTAGTACAGGAAACAGCAAATAAGATAGCCCTAGTATGGTAGGAATTAACGTGTATAATTCAGGAACATAAAGGCCAGGGAGGCTGGTGTAGCATAAATGAGTTGAAAACCACATGAGATGAGGAAGAAGAGATGGGTGGAGCCCACCTTCCCACTCAAAGTGACAAAAAAGGCAACCTGAAATTTAGTAACTTTATTCTGAAATAAAGGTTAAAATCATTGCTTTTCCCAGTGGGTGAAAAGTATCTCTATTTACTTGTCATTGGGGAGATTTTTTTGGGTGATTGAAGTATAGTGCTAGACTCCTTTCTCTAAGCAGCCCTTCTCCTTCTCTTGCCTTCCTTGGATTTCTCATTGGAGGCATCCTCCATCTCTTTAGGAATGGCATTTTCATGTTTACTGGTAGAAGGAGATGTAGAGATAGAATTTCCCTAGCATTTGTGTCAGTGGTTAATGTTCTTGTTATTCTTGGGCACGTTTTAGGGTTTGGGAGTTATATTCCAGCATTCTGTCTTTACACACACTCCCTGCCCCCACCACAATGCTTTTGACCCACCAAACAGTCACATCTGGTATCAAAACACTCATGACTCTGAGTACCCAAGTTCAAGAAGAGCCCAAGGTTGATATGTACAGACTACCTTTTAGAATGTGTTAAGAGGCCAAGAGAAGAGCTCAGAAAGCACGTCTGCCTCTTCTTTAAAACATGCAATGACAGGGAAAGCTGGCCATGCCTCATGTTTTTTCTTGTCCTTCCTTTTTGTTCAGGAGATCTGGCTAGGGCCAGTGTCTTTGTTCACCTTTCCAGCCACTCTCTGCTATGGTTTTATCTCTTGGCACATCCTAATAGAGGGAGTTGTCCTGGTGTTGTGAGGTATTGCTCAATTCAACAGATGCCAAATGCATAATTATTACACATTGATTGAGTCCTGAAGATGTAGAAAGGAGAGAGAGAGAGAGAGAGCATATTAAGTCTTTCCTCAACTTAAGACTTTGCTATCATACCCCAAAGGGAAGATAACGGAATCCAGCCTTGTTTTTAACTATGGTCACCCAATCCTAAAACTTCTCCAGTGATGTTGGATTCTCCTGGAACATTTTTTTCTCAAGACTCATGAATACAAGTGCAGAAGGTTCTCACTATTTTTTCCTTAACTATTTGTTTCCTTAACTGCTTTAGGGATCTCTGCAACTCAAACTCTAATTTCATTGTAGCAACTAAGATATATTCTTACTTGTGTTAAAAATGGAGCTCTTCTTTCTTTTCTTCCATAATGAAGTATTCTTTCTACTACTAAAACTTTTATTTTAGAAGAAGGGGTAGGAAATGTATTTTTTTTTGCTATTAATCATTTTGCTGAAAAAAAACAGGAACTGAATCAGACTGATTTCTTGATTTGACTTGAACTTTTCTTTTTTTATTTTTATTTTTCAAGTTTCTTTGTTTTTAAAGTGCTTCATGTGCTATATTAATAGAAATCCACTATGACTAGTAATAATTTTGCAAAAGATCAGCAGTTAAATAATGATTTGTTCAAGTATGAAAACAGATTGAGATGCTAAAACTCTTTAGGCACATTCAAATCCAAGTAATTTTTGAAAGTCCACTAGCATACATAAGAAGTAATGGCAGAGGTGTTTAGGAGGAATGTCAGAGTCAAACTATAAGGTAGCAATGTGTGTAAACTCAGTGATTATGCATGTTTTGAAAACAAATATTTGTCAAAAAATATGCACTCATTTGTTACTAGAAATAAAACATAAGTCTGTCCAAATACTCAGAACTGTATCAAAAGTTGTTTTTGAGAAATTTCTTGATTAATAGGTTGCTTCATCCATGTTGTCATCACTATCTGCACCAAAATCATCTCCATCTTCAAAGTATGAATTAATGTAGTCATTTTCCTCCTCTTGCTCCTCTTCATCATATTCATCCTGCTCTGCAGCAGCATCATCGTCATCATCATCACCTTCTTTACTTTTCTCTGTTTCCTTCTTTCTCTTCATTTTCCTCATCTGATTTCTCACCATCACCTCTCTTTTCCAATTCCTCTATTTTTTTCAACACATCTGCAGTATTAGTGAGCGAAGCACCTTTGTCTGTATCTTTTGCCTTTTTGGATTTTGGGTCTTTTTTGCTTTTTTTCCTTGGCTTCATCTCTCTTGGGAGTCTTCTCCAATCTGGTATCCATTCTTCCTTGTATACCTTCATATATCTTTTACTGTATCTTTCAATATCTTGCTTTTCTTCAGGTGTTTCAATAAAGTAAGGCATTCTCTTCACTGTTTCTCTCAATTCCTGTTTCAAGGCTAGCATATAATCTTCATCTTCTCCTGTTTTCAGGGGCACTGGCTTATAATCTATATCAGGAAATAGTGGAGGTGGTTTCAAAACTACATCAGGTAATTTTTCACCTCTGCTAAATCCAACAGCCTCAATATTAAAGGTATAGGCAGCACGTCCTCTTCCTTTATTCCCAGCCATCAGAACTAGTTATAGCAGAAAATTAAGTGGATGCTGCTAACTCTCTTGGCTTGTGCAAAACTGCAGCCGAAGTGGCCGGCAAGGAAGGGGTGCCGGCAGCCGGATTCCACCTCGGGAGAAGCGCGCCCAGTCCTCCACCTCGGACTTTTCTTGATAGGAAATTCACCACCACGGAATGATCCTGGCTTAGCTTCAGACCAGAAACCCCTCCTTGTATTCTCTAAGGCTCAATGACCTTCCATGCAAAGCACAGCAGGTCAGATAATGACAGTCTTGCACCCTCCCAGCAGAATGATAAAGATAACTTGGGTTGGGTTGTGTCTACACAGTAAAAGAGAAGTGTGACAAGATAAAAGTGAGAGCACACAAGGGAGATATAAGGATAGGTAAGACACCTAAAAAATTAGCTAGCATTTGCTGCCCTCAACGCAGAGAAACTAAAGCAGATACCTTAAAAGCAACTGAGGCCAATAGGAGAAGGGGACCAGGAACTAGAAAAAAGGTTAGATCAAAAAGAATTAACCTAGAAGGTAACACACATGCACAGGAAATCAATGTGAGTCAACTCCCTGTATAGCTATCCTTATCTCAACCAGCAAAAACCCTTGTTCCTTCCTTTTATTGCTTATAATCTCTCTTCAACAAAATTAGAGATAAGGGCAAAATAGTTTCTGCCAGGTATGGAGGGGGTGGGGAGGAGAGGGAGGGGGTGGAGTGGGTGGTAAGGGAGGGGGTGGGGGCAGGGGGGGAGAAATGACCCAAGCATTGTATGCACATATGAATAATAAAAAAATAAATTAAAAAAAAAGAGAAGTGTGAGTTAGGGCCATTGGCTGGGCAATTCGGGCCACAAGTGCTTTTGCCGGGAATAGTCAGAGGACTGGGGCTCGAGTATGTTTTGGCTTGAGTTATGCACACAATTGCATTGCTTCATCTCTCCTTAACCAACCTACCCCCAAACACTGGCTCAGTGTTTGAAATGTGTTTGAAGATGGGAAGTAATAAAGAAATGTTAATCACAATCTCTGAATATTGGTATTACTCTTGGGCTTCTTCCAAAACACAGTTAACTAGAAACCTCGGCTCCCTGCGATGCCATGAACCCAAACTGTTCAGAAAATAGAAACCCTGGGATAGGGAAAAGGGGTCTACAAATGGCCCCTATATAAAAGAAACCCCTTCATTGTGTTTAATCAATATAAAGTGTGAGCATAGCCATTATTTTGGCAACCTAGGGGCAGGAAGATGACAAACCAGATCTGCTAACAATGAAGGAAATGTCTTTTTTTCATCTTTTCTCAGAGGACAGACTATACATGTTTCTTGCAGAGTCATATTCAGAGGTCCTGGTTGAGGACACAAGTTCATCACTCCAGTTATCACCACTCATTGAATGCCCCACTTAAGTTATTATAGGGGATTAAAGATTTTCAAGAAAGGTGGATCTCAATGTAAAGATCGAAGTGCTTTGTGTCTTATTTAGGCAAGCAAACATTCCTCTCTGAAGACGATAGCTTAGGAATGTCCAGGAGTTTAAGAAGAGAATCAGTACCATTCTTTCTGAGATGCTAGAGTATTCATTTCGCCTAAATTAAAGTGAAACAATGGGGCCTGCTCAGTTTAGGAAAATATTCCTACAATACATCTTTGAGTTGATCTTCAATCTGTGAGTTAACATT